AATGAGGGTGTCGAAACCTCACGCGTTCACTTGGAAACTGGTCCACTTTTCGAGGAGGATGCCCTTTTATCTCTTCGTGGTGAACGACTGATGAAGCGGGTTACCGATTTCGTGCGGCAAGTTCTTAATGAACATCAAAAGGAGGATATTGTGAAAGGGAAGCGGGTTGATACGGGTGCCATTTCTCAACCTAAATCCACCTAAACTTCGTTTAAAACTTTCAAAAGTAGCAGAGCAACTGAATTTAATGGGGTTTCAGATCCAATTGTAGCTATTGAATGGCTATTGAACACAGAAAAAGTGTTTCGGATCTCCAAAGTCTCTAAAGAGGATAAGGTTAACTATGCGACCGCTATGTTTATGAGTAGTGCACTGATATGGTGGGACGCAACTTACCAGTCTCTGAATGAGGCTGAAAGAAAAAATTTAACTTGGGAAGGTTTCAAAACCATTTTTCACGAACAATACTGTCCCCCTGACTTAATGAAACGGTTGGAGAAAGAGTTCATTGACCTTAAAAAATGAGATTTGACTATGGTGCAGTATGAGACCCAGTTCAACATGAAGGCACATTTTGCTTCACGTTTTGTTACCTCTGAACAACCCAAGATTGAACATTTTGTTGACGGTCTGAGGAGAGAGATTAAAGAATTTGTATCAAATCGTGATCTTACAAGTTTTCGGAGAGCGGTTGAATGTGCTAGACGACGAGAACACGAACTTTCTTTCTATGGTGAATCCACACCCGAACCAAAGAGACAGAGAACTAAAATAACAACTTTTGTACCTGTAAACCGACCTAATCGATCTTTCACCACAAGAAGAAGTCAGTCTCAGAGTGCTCCTCGAGCCCCATCTCGAGCCTATTCCATGCAGATATAATATTGTGAATATAGGTGAAGTGAGTATATGAATTGTAGAACTAATACAAATTTATTGCAGTCAAACACACCTCGCGCATGCCAACGATGTGGCAAGGCGCACTCGGGACGATGTTTCTTTGAACCATCCAAAATGTCGTGTTATTCCTGTGGTGAAGTTGGGCATATTCGTACAAATTGCCCAAGACGAGATCGAGCGTGTTATACTTGTGGAGCTTATATACATCATCAGCTTAAATGTCCAAATGCCCAACGTGAGGATAGTAAGGCCTCAGTACGACAACCAATGGTGGGGGGTTCCTCAACCCGAAAGGAGGAAGTACCAAAAGCAAGAGTTAGAGCGTTCCAGATCACAGCAGAGGAGGCTCGGGAGGAGCCGGAGCTCGTCACTAGTATATTTTTCGTGAATTCTCATCCTGCACGTATATTGTTTGATTCTGGTTCTACGTATTCCTTCATGTCGCATGCCTTTGTTCGTTTTCTCGAATCTGTTCCTGTACTTTTTGATAGACCATTTTCTGTGGATACCGCTAGTGGAACCCCTTTATTAGCTGATAGAGTATTCAAAGATTGTACATTAGTATTGGAGGATCAAAATTTCTCAGTAGACTTAATCTTTATGTATATTTGTGGCTTTGATGTGGTTATTGGTATGGATTGGTTAGTAGCAAATCGGGCGGATATTATTTGCGTGCAACGGATGATCCGAATACAGTTAGTGAAGAAGATTATGTTTATGTGTACGGAGAAAAAGGGGTCGGTGACATCAAGGTAATTTCTGTACTCAAAGCTCGTCGATATTTATCTAAGGAGTGCACTTCTTTCATGGCATATGTTTTAGATGCCACTAAAGAAAGAAACAAGTTGGCGAAGGATGTACCTGTGGTATGTGAATTTCAGGATGCATTTCCTGATGATTTGCCTGGTCTACCACCGGACAGGCAAGTAGAGTTTCGAATTGACCTTGTGCCAGGTGCTGCACCTATTGCAACGGACACCCTATCGTCTTGCCCCGGCAGAAATGAAAGAAATGATGAGCCAATTACAGGGATTATTGGATAAAGGTTTCATCCGACCAAGTACTTCACCTTGGGGTGCTCCAATGTTATTCGTGAAGAAGAAAGATGGTTCATTTCGCATGTGTATTGATTACCGTGAGTTAAACAAAGTAACAATCAAGAATAAATATCCGTTACCTCGTATTGACGATTTGTTCGATCAAATGCAGGGAGCAAGTTATTTTTCCAAGATCGATTTGAGATCCGGATACCATCAGCTCAAGGTGTGGGATGAAGATGTATCAAAAACGGCTTTCCATACCCGATACGGACACTATGAGTTCTTGGTAATGCCATTTGGTCTAACGAATGCTCCGGCTGCATTCATGGATATGATGAATCGAGTATGTCGGTCTATGCTCGATAAGTCTGTCATTGTCTTCATTGATGACATACTTGTGTATTCTAAGTCAGAAATTGATCATGCTACGCATCTCCGTCAGATGTTGGAGTTACTAAGAAAAGAGATAGTATATGCCAAGTTCTCGAAATGCGAATTTTGGCTTAGAAAGGTGCAATTCTTAGGGCATGTGATCTCTGGTGAGGGTATTTCTGTCGATCCATTTAAAATTGAGGCAATTCAGAATTGGGAACCACCGAAGAATGCCTCAGAGATCTGCAGTTTTCTTGGATTAGCGGGTTATTACCGACGATTCATAAAAGACTTTTCAAAGATTGTCGTTCCCCTTACTTCACTCACTCGTAAAGCTATGAAGTTTGTATGGAATGAAGAACAAGAGAAAGCTTTTCAGCTCTTGAAAGCTTGTTTGATGAACGCTCTGATTCTTGCCTTACCCGAAGGTAATGATGACTTTGTGGTCTATAGTGATGCGTCGAAGTTGGGATTGGGTTGCGTATTGATGCAACGAGGCAAGGTGATTGTGTATGCCTCCCGACAATTGAAGGATTATGAGAAGAAATACCTCACTCATGATCTTGAGTTGGCGGCGGTAGTGTTTGCCTTGAAATTATGGCGTCATTATCTTTATAGGACGAAATGTCAATTATTCACGGATCACAAGAGTCTGAAGTACATTTTCGATCAACAGACTTTGAATATGAGACAGCAAAGGGCCATGGAGTTAATAAAAGACTATGACTGTGAAATACTCTATCATCCTGGTAAAGCCAACATAGTGGCGGATGCTTTGAGTCGAAAAGTGTATGTCTCTTATATGTGTTACGCAATCACTCACACGTCTATATAGTCTACGCTTATTGACGACCTGCGAAGATGGCAAGCTGAGGCTTTAAAACCTGAACATGTGAAGTCTGAACGGATAGTTGGATGTGTAGATTCTCTCTCGGAAGATAATCGTGGCGTGAAAGTGTTTAGATCCCGAATCTGGGTGCCGAAACTTGGTGGTGTGCGAAAGACTATTCTGGCAGAAGCTCACAAATCTAGAATGTCTGTTCATCCCGGCAGTACAAAAATGTATCATGATCTGCATACCGAGTTTTGGTGGCCGGGCATAAAAGTAGATATTGGCCTTTATGTTTAAAGATGTGTTACGTGTTTGCAAGTGAAGGCTGAGCACCAAAAACCTTATGGAAGTTTACAACCTTTGGAGGTGCCCGTCTGGAAATGGGAAGAGTTGACCATGGACCTCGTAACAAAGTTACCGGAGACTTCTCGTCAACACGATAGTGTTTGGGTGATTGTGGACCGGTTAACAAAAAGTGCTCATTTTCTCGCGGTTCGGGAAGATTATTCTATGGATCGTTGGGCACAAGTATACATCGATGAGATAATTGCCCGTCACGGTGTACCGTTAAAGGTAGTTTCTGATCGTGATTCTCGATTTACCTCAAACTTTTTGGACTAGTATGCAAAAAGAACTAGGGACTCGTGTCGCTCTTAATACCGCGTATCACCCCGAAACCGATGGACAGTCAGAGCGCACGATTCAAACAATGGAGGATATGTTACGAGCTTGTATCTTGGAGTTTGGTGGAAGCTGGGATTACCACTTGCCACTTATAGAGTTCTCGTATAACAACAGTTATCACTCCAAGATCGACATGGCTCCCTTTGAGGCTTTGTATGGACGTAAGTGCCGTATGCCTCTCTGTTGGCAAGAAACCAGAGAGAAAGTGTTGGCTGGACCAGAGTTGATTCAAGTCACACATGATAAGATACGGGTTATACGTGAAAGAATAAAAGCAGCCCTATATCGACAGAAATCTTATGCCGACAAACGACGACGACCAATTCAGTTTGAAGTGGGAGATATGGTGATGCTGAAAGTATCACCTTGGAAGGGAATTTTACGGTTTGGTAAAAAAGGGAAGTTGAGTCCACGTTTCGTTGGACCCTTTAAAATCCTTGAATGTATCGGAAAACAAGCCTATCGTTTGGAGTTGCCAGAAGAACTCTCTGGTATTCATGACGTTTTCCACGTTAGCTATCTAAGGAAATGCTTGGGTAAGCATGAGGAGGCCGTTCCTTTGGCCGAGGTCAAGTTGGATAAAAGATTGAGGTACATAGAAGAACCCGAGGCCATTCTTAATGAAAGAACTGTTAATCTACGAAACAAGATCGTAGATTTGGTCCTTGTTAAATGGAAGCATCACCGTGGTCCGAATTGGACGTGGGAGAACAAAGATGAAATGAAGGCTAAGTATCCGGAATTATTTGAGAGACCTTGATTTCGAGAACGAAATCCTCAAAAGGAGGAGGTATTTGTAACATCCATCTTCCTAATACGCTTAATTATGTGTTGAAAATATTGAATTTTCGGGTATGGTTTTGAGCATTGGGTTCAAACAATGGAATCTTTTTATTGGAGCTTGTAGGTTATCTCGTTTCGGACGCGTAGGCGAAAACCTCATCGAAAACGGAGTCCGGAGCAAAAAGTTATGCATATTTTTTTAGTGTTTAGGGGTCAAAACGGGTACCCAGCCAGGTCAACCCGACCCAACTCGGGATTTAAGTCGCAAATCATCAAATCAGCCCATTTCTAACCCTGTTTTCTCTCAAAATCAGTCTTGGTGCTCTAAGGTGCGATTACACACACTTGGGAGTTAATCTATCCCTAAATCAAGTGTTTTATCAAGATTATTGAAAGATTTATAGAGAAATCAAAGGTAAAACTCATATTTATCGTTATTTGATGACATGCATAGAGTTTGAGTCCTTGCATGTGATGATTTACAGTTGAAATCATGAAATTATGTTAGGACTAAGTGTTATTATTAGTTAGTATGTGAAATCCAAGGATGGATTGTAAGATTTCTTGAAATTGTGATGTTAGCTCAAGAACAAGTGTTGACTTTTAGGWGTCAATTTGAGATACAATGAAAKTAGTAGAAMTTGATGTTATAATCATGGTTTATCATTGATTTATTGTGGAATTTGGTAAAATTAAGTGAAACTATGAATTTGGAACTTATTGGGCTAGTATTGGTAATGTTTTGGAGGAAAATGGGTGTTTTGAGCATTTGATAGAATGATTACAGCCCTGTTTTTGGAAAATCATAGAAAATTCGAAACTAGAAATATATAGGCCTTAGAAAGGTAAGAGAAAGGGCTACAAATTGTCTTTAGATCTGAATTGGTGATTTTGAGTTTTAAAAGGGTAAAACAGCTCGGCAAGTTGAGTATTTATATTGAAATCCAAAGTAGAGTACCTTAATCGAAATAAGGTTTGAGTGAGTTTTTGTTGTGCTTCACTAATGAGACTTTGAATATATCTTCGAGGGATTGTTTGAGCTTGTATGGAAATCTTGGAGGTGGTTTTCCAACTTTGATTTGGAAATGGGAGTCGACCACTCGGTTTGACATTCGGTTTAATTCAATCGAATTCTATTATGAGTTTACTTGGATATATGCCTATTATGTGCTCTATAGGTGCATGTGTTACCCATATTGTATTCATAATTGTTGTTTCATGGTTACTTTTATTCTATGCCTATATCACTCCTTATATAGACAATGTTTACATGATAATTGAATCCTATAAACAAGGAAATAATCTTTATCGAAAACAAGATAAGCTTCATCCTTCAAGATTCTAAGGATAGACCAACTAGAGGATAGTCCAACCAGAGGATAGACCAACCAGAGGATAGGCCAACCAGAGGATGGACCAACCAGAGGATAGACCAACCAGACGATAGACCAACTAGAGGATGGACCAACCAAAGGATGGACCAACCAGAGGATAGACCAACCAGAGGATAGACCAACCAGAGGATAGACCAACCAGAAGATAGACCAACAAGAGGTTAGACCAACCAGAGGATAGACCAACCAGAGGATAGACCAACCAGAGGGTAGACCAACCAGAGGATAGATCGACCTGAGGGGATCTGGTCCTGAAGGACTTAGAGTCCAGAGGCTCTGGTCTATACAACCAGAGGCTCTGGTCATCTAGAGAGGCTCTGGTCTATACAACCAGAAGGGCTCTGGTCTTGAAGGACTTAGAATCCAGAGGGACATTTCTATACAACCAGAGGGGCTCTGGTCTTGAAAGACTTAGAGTTCAGAGGCTCTGGTCTTTACAACCAGAGGCTCTGGTCGTCCAGAGGGGCTCTGGTCGTTTTCCAGACTTAGTCATTTCAGCACAACAACATCTTCAGATCTTCCATCCTTGGCCCCGATTACTTGATAATACTTTTAGAATAATTAAGATCAATTTTGGTCCTAATATTGTTTATGTATTGGGAGCCGGTTGTCGAACACCTTTGGATCCGGGTGAGAGAACCGGAGGGGCTTTCCCTACTCAACTCTCCAGGGATGGAGGACGGGTATTGCAGGAAGATGAGTAGAGGGTTTGTACACCATCCAAGAGTGGACGAATACGGATTGGTCAGTCAAGCGTAATAATTGTCTATTGTTTTAGACTTAGATTGTTGGTGAATGTACTAATTGTGCATAGCGTGACTTTGATTATTGAAGTGTTTGTGTTATAAATTCATTTGATTGTCTTTGTGGTTTCCTTGAAATTCTATTTCTCGTTAACACCTGGTTTTGATAGATATTGACTCTTATACTTCTAGATT